CCAACCTTGATCCTCAGATCTTTGGAGTCTCGTAGGTTATAGATATGAGCACCAACACCCAACTTTTTTTCTTTTTAGGTAGTACTAGGATTTGAATACAGGGCTTAACTCTTGTTTGGCAAGAGCTTTGCTGTTCAACTATGTCTCCACTTCTTTTTTTTTTGCAGATAGTTATTTCATGAGATAGGATCTTTCTTCCTGCCTGGATGTACCTGGACCTCAATTCTCCTATTTTTCCCTTCTTACATTAGCTGGGATGACAGGCTAGCACTATCACTTGGCCTTCTCTGTCCCAGGCCTAGAACCTCTATCATCCTCAAATGCAGCCTCCAAAGTATTTAGGGTGACTGACTGGCAAACACCACCTGAATGCCTATTGATGAAAAGAGGTCTTACAAACTTTTCTGCCTTAGCTAGCCTGGAATAATAGCCTTCCTAATCATAACCTCACAAATAGACATGGGCAAGTAGCACTCAACTTACTTTCCAATGTTTTAAAATGTTTCATTCTGATAACCCAAAGGGGAAAAATACTTTAGTTTTTCTACTTTATAAAAAAAAAAAAAAAACTGCCGGGCGCTGGTGGCTCATGCCTGTAATCCTAACTACTCAGGAGGCTGAGATCTGAGGATCGCGGTTCAAAGCCAGCCCGGGCAGGAGAGACCGTGAGACTCCTATCTCCAATAAACCACCAGAAAACCGGAAGTGGCGCTGTAGCTCAAGTGGTAGAGCACTCGCTTTGAGCTGAAGAGCTGAGGGACAGCGCCCAGGCCCAGAGTTCAAGCCCCACGACCGACAAAAAAAAAAAAAAAAAAACTTAGGGGCTGGGAATGTGGCTCAGTGGTAGAGCTCTTGCCTTGCATGCTCGAGGCCCTGGGTTTGATTCCTCAGCACCACATAAGCAAAAAGAAAAAAGCCTGAAGTGGCGCTGTGGCTCAAGTGGTAGAGCGCTAGCCTTGAGCTGAAGAGCTGAGAGACAGCGCCCAGGCCCAGAGTTCAGGCCCCACGACCGGACCCAAAAAAAAAAAAAAAAAGACTAAAAAAAAAAAAAAACTTAAAAGATATATGCATATATTTGCTGCAATGGCACCAGTGGCTAACACCTGTAACACTAGTTACTCAGGAGGCTGAGATCTAAAGATCACGGTTCGAAGCCAGCTAGGGTAACAAAGTCCATGAGACTCATATCTCCAATTACCCAGCAAAAAGTGAAGCTGTAAATCAAGTGGTAGCGTGCTAGCCTTGAGCAAAAGATGCTCAAGGAACAATTCCTAGGCCCTAAGTTCAAACCCCAGGCCTGGTACAAAAACAATTTTTTTTCTTCCCATCTTCTGTGCAAAAGAATTACTTTTTTTGTATTGTTTTTTGAGACAGGTCTATGCTATGTTGTTCAGTCTGGCCTGAAGCTCACTATACAGCCCAGAGTTGATATGAACTTGAATATTCCTGCATGTGCTTCCTAAATGCTGAGATTACAGGATGTATACTATGCCCACCTTTATTTTTCTTTCCCCTATCAGTACTGGGGCTTGAAGTCAGTTCTCAAGTTCTTGATCAGCTTTTTCTGCTCATGGCTTAGTATTATACCACTTGAGCCATGCCTCAAGTGGTAGCTATTTGAAGGTTAATTATACATAAGAATCTTGAGGGGGGGGAGCGGCTGGGAAGGTGGCTCCGTAGTAGAGTGCTTGCCTTGCATATATTAGGCCATATAAGTAGAAAAAGCCAGAAGTGGTGCTGTGGCTCAAGGGATAGAGCACTAGCCTTGAGCTGAAGAGCTGAGGGTCAGTGCCCAGGCCCAGAGTTCATGCCCCACGACTGACCAAAAAAAAAAAAGAATCTTGAGGGTTTGTCTGCCCAGGATGGCTTCAAACTGAGATCCTAAGATCTCAACCTCCTAAATAGCTAAGATTATATATTCAGTTTTCTGTAAAGTTTTTATACTTACTATTGAGAATGGATATGAAGAAAACATGTAATATATACACACATAATACTTTCTACGAACAGAAAATGTGCATTTTCAGGAATATCATATCTTTTTTTTTTTTTTTTTTTGGTCCAGTCGTGGGCCTCAACTCTGGCCTGGACGCTGTCCCTCAGCTCTTCAGCTCAAGGCTAGCGCTCTACCACTAGAGCCACAGCGCCACTTCCGGCTTTTTTCTTTTTGCTTATGTGGTGCTGAGGAATCAAACCCAGGGCCTCAAGCATGCAAGGCAAGCACTCTACCACTGAGCCACCTTCCGAGCCCCTATCATAGCTTTTTTATTTGCATTCTCTACTATCAAATTACATTACCAATTCTTCCTAGATTTATTTTCCCATTAAGGGACTAGTTTCAAGTAGTGAGCAGAGATTCTTCAATTTACTTGAGAACTTGATACAGGACACTTTTGCTACTAATCTAAAAAGAATCATTGCAAAAATCAGTTCGTACTATAGTTTGTTTTAGTGTTTTGGCTTCTACATTTCTAAACTCTGTGTAACAGCAAAAGTTCTTCAGTTAGCCTCAATGTTAGTTTCTGGAGAAAATAAAATATTCTACTTGACCAAGGTAACATATGCCTGTAATCTCAGCACTTAGGATACTGAGGCAGGAGGATCATGAATTCAAGGCCCATCTGAGTTATATAGTGAAATTCTCAAAGAAAAAGAAAACAAATGTTCTGAAAGTACTTCTTGGGCTTCCTTTCAAAACTAAGTAACTTTGTAAGTAGTATATTTACAACTTATATATTTCAGTATGTATAAATCTTACTACTCATCTACCAAAAAAAAAAAAATACTGAACTCTAGGAAATGGTATACATGCTAAAGTGTTCAGAGGAAAGTATACTGATACCTGCAACTTTGAGGTTAAACAAAAAGATTGGTAGGGAGATGACTAGACAGGTAACCAAATATATGGTAAATATTAACTATAGAGGGAAGGAAGGAGTAACACTATCCAAAAAGAAATGTACTTTTCACCTGATCTATTTAACTACAACCCCTCTGTACATCACCTTTATAACAAAAATTAAATTCTTTTTAGGGCTGGGAATGTGGCTTAGTGGTAGAGTGCTTGCCTAGCATGCATTTAGCCCTGAGTTCGAGTCCTCAGTACCACATAAACAGAAAAGGCTGGAAGTGGCGCTGTGGTTCAAGTGCTAGAGTACTAGCTCTGGGCAAAAATAAGCTCAGGGACAGTGCCCAAGTCCTGAATTAAAGCCCCAAGACTGGCAAAAATAAAATGAATATTAACTACAAAATCTTGTTAGATATACAGGTGTTTATCATAAATCTTTCAACCTACTTGGCAATCTTTATACTAAATGGGGAGAAAATACTAAGAACTTTCAGCCCTTGACAGGAACTCTTTAGTTTGATAAATTCATGTATTTTTTTGTTGTTGTTGTTTTTTTGTTTTTGTCAGTCGTAGGGCTTGAACTCTGGGCCTGGGTACTGTGCCTGTGCTCTTCAACTCAAGGCGAGCGCTCTACCATTTGAACCACAGCGCCACTTCCAGTTTTCTAGTGGTTTTATTGGAGATAAGAGTCTCATGGACTTTCCTGCCTGGGCTGGCTTTGAACGGCGATCCTCAGATCTCAGCCTCCTGAGTAGCTGGCGCCTGGCTAAATTCATGAGTTTTTAAAAAATAATTATTAACAATGTCAGCAAAAAATACACTGACATATAAAACACAAGCAAGGTTTTTTTTAAAGTAGTGTAATGCTCTACCAGTGTTAAATACATAGAATTTGCTAAGTAAAGGTACTATACACTTCATATTAATATAATTCTCAATACAAACCTAGAAGTAGGTAGTTATTATTTTCATTTTACACATGAAGAAGCTCAGGCATGCAGAAATTAAATTATTTGCCAAAGGTCACAAAGAAATACTAAGATTCCACTCAGATCTGACTATAGCTCCTGATCTGCTCTGTGAGCAGAGATGAGTCCACAAAGGAGGTACATCTCATTACCTAGAAACAAGAATACAATTTTCCACAGATAATTTACACTAAAACTGAAATTTCAACCCAATATGACTTTCTCAAAAAAATAAAGACACTATCATCACATTTTTAGGAAATTTTGAAAATTGCCAATGGTCATAAGAAAGGTCAATCAATGGTGCTGCTAAAAACTAAACTGTCCTTGGAACCAGTTTCTACCAAGCTATATAATATCAAAAAGAAAATGACCTAACTAGCTGGATTTCCACTAAAACATTAGTTAAAAAGGACCATTCTGTTAATTAAAACAATGACAAATAGACAATGAATAAACTTACAGGTTTGGAGGTTCGGTAGACAGCACGACTGGTAAGATGACCTAGGCAAATGGCCTCAAAATAACACAAGTGAAAATTCATAACTTTTTGTCTCCAGTCATTTCCTATAAAGTTTAAGCACTGATACCAAGGTGGTTTTTTAATATTTAAGACTAAGCAGGGAAATGAGTAACAACACTATGCCATTCATTAGGCAGAATTCTGCCTAGATTTTGAAGCTTACAACTTCCCAGCAGCTTCCCACCATTGGGAAGTACCTACCTTTAGAAGACTGAGCCATGTGAAATGTTCTTTTTTTTTTTTTTTGAGGTCATGGGGCTTGAACTCTGGGCCTGGGTGCTATCCCTTAGCTCTTCAGCTCAAGATGAGCTCTCTACCACTTGAGCTACAGTGCCACTTCTGGTTTTCTGGTGGTTAATTGGAGATAAGAGTCTCTCGGACTTTCTTGCCAGGGCTGGCTTCAAACCCCAATCCTCAGAACTCAGCATCCAGAGTAGCTAGGATTACAGGCGTGAGCCACCAGCTACCCGCAATGTTTAGGTCTTAAACTCTGGATTAAGGGGAGACCAAATTCACATACTTAAGTGAATCTGTTATCTCACCTCATCAATGGCCAAACTAACATGACCTCTGGTGGCTACTGCAAAATGTCATGACAAATTGCCAGTTCTTATATACCCCCACCCCCATCTTACAGAGGACTGGTAATCAAACAGCTCACCTGGGAAGTGGACTCCGACTCAGAGATCGCTTGCTTAGGAAAGGGCTGCTAGATCTTCTTCGCCCGTAGGGGCTGGGGGACCTTCCACTGTAAGAGCCACTCCTTTCATAGCTGGATGACCGTCTACGGCTGTAGGGACTCACAGACCTCTGTCTCCTGCTGTAGGGACTGGGTGAGCGGGCGCTGGACTGGTAGGCAGAAGGCTCTTTGTAAGGCGGGCTTACAGACTGCCTTCTTGAGGTACTTCCAGGACTCTTCTTGTAGGAATCATAATTGCTGGAGGTGTGAGATCTCGGGGGACTAAGGTCGTAGTCTTGGCCATAAGAAGCTCCTGAGGGGCTGTCATCTTGTTTGGAGCTGTCAGACCATTTCCTGTGGGGACTCCTGGATCTGCGCTTGGGACTATCCACTGTTTTGTAACTTTTGGGTGTTTCTCTTTTCCGATGACTTTTACTCCGGTCTTTGTGTCCAGACTTCAACTCGCGTTCTTTCCGCGTCTTCTCCTTATGAAGTTTGGATGACCTGGATTCCTTACTGCTGCTTTTGGCTACCTGTGCCTTCCCATAGTCATCATTCTCCTCGTTTAAGCGCTTGGAACTCCCTGATATCCGGTCCTTCATCGATCCTGACTTGCTGGAGACTTCCTGGTTTCTTTCTTTTTCGGTCTGTTTAGTTTTTAGTAAGTCCCGGGAACGCCGGTGCTGGTGATGACGATGTTTGTGCAGGCGATCACTCCGATCCGTTCCACGACGTTCATCGTTCTCCCTTCGATCTAATTTGAAGGCCAAGTCATCAGAAAAAGTGTCGGAATCAGAGCTGATATCATCGTACTCCACCAAAGGTTTGATAATTGTACCCAAGGATGCTGCTTCGGGGGTCACCAACCCCATGTCTTTGGAGTGCTTGGACTTATGCCGCTTGTGCTTCGACCCCAAACGGTGACGCTCTCTGCTGTTGGAGCTGCCACCTCCGGAAGACGGCTGCAAAGTTCCAGAAGCTCCTCCACTCCCGTCCTTCTTGCCCCCATGTCTCTCTGAATTGGGCATTCCCTTTCCCCTGGCCTGAAAAAGGGGGAAAAGTTCCCCAGCACTCCCAAAAGTAACCCCCACCCTCCCCCCAACTCCAACTCCACGCCCACCAAAGCGCCCCTAAAGGGGGTGGGGAGGGAAAGGGCGGACAGTAGGCCAGGCTCCTCCTCCCCTCCCTACTCCTCAGCACCCTCCTACATGGGGGGGTGGGGGGAGAAACCCGCGAAGGAGCAAGGGAAGGAATGAAGAGTTCCTCAGCGGTGGAGTTTGGAAACCACGGGCGGCTGCTCGAGTCTGTCCCCCCCACCCCTCCGCCGAGCTAATCCTCAGGCCCGGGCACCGGGGAGGTCGAGGAAGTAGGAAGCGGACGGCCCGTGGCTGTGAGGCCGACTCGGCTCTGGGGCCCTGTGAGGACTGCGCCGGCCCTTCCCCTACCCGGTAGCCCGGCTGGGGGCAGCTTCCTGTCGCCGGGTCCCGCAGCCTAGATCCTTCACTCTCCCTTCGCCCCTCGCTCCTGAAGGAGCCTCTTTTCTGGTCTCCACCTCACCTCAGTACCTCACACACAAACACACACTCGCTCCCTCACACAGACTCAGTCACACACTAGCTTAAACCGAAACGGCACTTGAAGGAAGGGGGGAGGGGCAAGCTCAGAAAATATCGCGAGAGTCCGATGGGCTCTCGCGATGCTTCTGTGCTTCCCTTTCACCTCTACCCACCACTTAATGAAACGACGCGAGAACAGGATCCGCGCAACAAACGCATCCCGTTAGGCTCTCGCGATATGTTTACACCTCTAACTCCCTCCCCAGTGTCTGAAGATCTTTATTAAAACAGACCTGGCAAAACTTGTCTCTTAAAAACCTAAACTCATGGAACCAAACTCCTAGGTTCCAGTGAAAATTCCTTATAGGTAGTTTATAGCAATAGTCGCTTAACTAGCATTATATTAATATTTTTGCTAACGCACAAGGACGTATGTGGAGACATATCAATTTAAGTACCTGAATTTTAAACTGTTTTTCACCTACATGATACCTGGCATTTTAAGTACGTTTTCTATATAACCCTCACAAATATCCTGCAACTTAATTCCTACCTCTATTTTACAAGTCAGGATCCCAAACTCAGGGGCGTTAAATAGTTTCAGGTAATCAAGCTAGAACTGCAAGTGCCATCGCATTTGCTCAAACTCATGTCTGTCTAATGCTAAAAGAGCTCTTCCGTTGTGTGGCACTACCTCCATTCTTCACATCTAACCGTCTATCTACACTTAACAGCCTTTGAAATGCTCCCATGGCTCTCAGGATGATTATCTTTCATCCTCATGCATTCCAATCATGAACTAGAATTCTAAGTTGCTAATGGCCTCCCATTTCCCCCTTCTGTCTTAGGGCTTGAACTCAGGATCTAAGCCTGGTCCCTGAGTTCTTTGGGCCAGGCTAGGGCTCTACAACTTTGAGCCACAACTCCACTCCTGGTTTTTGAGTGGTTAATTGGAGATGTGTGTTAAGGGGACTTTTTTTGCCCTGGCTAGCTTCAAACTGATAATAATCAGATCTCAGTGTTCTGAGTAGCTAAGATTACAGGAGTGAGCTACCGGTGCCCCATTTAGCCTCTCATTTTTACTTTTCAAAATTCTACACATAGCTGGGGGGCCGATGGCTCATGCCAGTAAGCCTAGCTACTTAAGAAGCTGAGATGTTGGGGCTGGGAATATGGCTTATTGGTAGAGTGCTTGTTTAGCATGCATGAAGCTCTGGGTTCGATTCCTCAGTACCACATAAAGAGAAAAAGCAGGAAGGACACTGTGGTTCAAATGGTACAGTGCTAGCCTTGAGCAAAAGAAGATCAGGGACAGTTCCCAGGCTCTGAGTTCAAGCACCAAGACTGGCAAAAGAGAAAAAGAAAGAAAAAAAAAACCTGAGATATGAGAATCCTGGTTCTAATCCAGCCCTGGCAGAAAACCCTTAAATACTCCCCCTTCCTCCCCCATACACACCTTCTTAGTGTGTGCCATTATTGGGGCTTGAATTCAGGGTGTGGGCACAGCTTGTTAGTTTTTCAGTCAAAGCTAGCACTCTACCACTTGAGTCACACCTCCATTCATGCGTTTTTTTCTTTGTTTTTCTTTTTTGGTGCCAGTCCTGAGGTGCCAGGGCCTGAATGCTGTCCCTGAGATTTTTTTTGTTGTTGTTCAAAGTTAGCAATCTACCGCTGGAGCCATAGTTCCATTTCTGGCTTTTTTGGTAGTTCATCAGAGATGAGTCTCACAGACTTTCCTGCCTAGGCTGGCTTTGAACAACGACCCACAGATCTCAGCCTCCAGAATTACTAGGATTATTAGTGTAAGCCACCACTCCTGGCTTGTTTTCTGTTTTGATTTGGGGTGTGTGTGTTTAATTGGAGGTAAGTGTTTGGGACTATTTCTGCCTGACCTGCCTTCAAACTGCAGGTGTGAGCCACCGGCACCTAGCATGTTTAGCTTTTCTTGTTCACAAATGGCCCTCTACCACTTGAGCCACACACCTTCACTTTAGTGTATTTATCTGGTTAATTGGAGATGAGTCTTTTGGATTTGTTGGCCCTGACTGGTTTTTGGATCTCAATGTTCACATCTGAGCCTCCTAAGTGCTTAGGAATTAGGAGTGAGCCACCTGTCCCCAGCAAGAGACAGATTTTTTTTTTTATTGTTTGGCCAGTCCTGGGGTTTGAACTCAGAGCCTGGGCACTGTTCTAGAGCTTCTTTTGCTCAAGGCCAGCACTCTACCACTGAGCCACGGCACCACTTCCAGCTTTTTGTATTTATGTGGTCCTGAAGAATCGAACCCAGGGCTTCATACATACTAGGCAAGTACTCTACCACTACGCCATATTCCAGCCAAGAAAGATTTTAATTTGCAAAATGTTTAGCTGTCAAAATGAAAATTACCAGGGCTCCGGTGGCTTACTCCTGTAATCCTAGTTATCCAGGAGGCTGATATCTGAGAACTGTGGTTTGAAACCAGCGTAGGCAGCAAAGTCCATGAGCCTCTCACCTCCACTAAGCTATCAAAAAAAGCTGGAAGTGGAGCCGTGCCTCCAGTAGTAGAGCGCCAGATTTGAGCACAAAAGCTAGGGGCAGCGCCTAGGTCCTTGTGTTCAAGTCCCGGTACCAGCACACATAAAGGAAAAAAGAAAAGAAAATTCCGGTTTCGGCGAACACGGAACTCTACCTGCTTGAAACTTCAGTACCCAGTGACAGAATCCTAAAGAACCAGTAAGGAAGGCAGGCGGGTTAAAAGAAGCCTCGCGATAACTCCGCCTCAACCAGTTTCCGCGAGATTTTGGGTACTTTGCGTCTTCCTTGGTCTCGCTGGATCGCGCTAAATCTCGCGATCTCTGGGAAGTTCCGTTGGGGAAGATGGCGGCGGCCTCGAGCACCCTTCTCTTCTTGCCGCCCGGGACTTCAGACTGAGCCTTTTTGGGAAGCGTGGGGGCTACTAATGCCCTGCATCCCGAGAACTCAGTCCCTCTTGGTTCCTCTGCTGGTGGCGGTGAAAGGTTTGTCCTCTCGTGGCGGACATAGGCCTTCGCTGCTGTCAGGATGAAGGCTCAGGGGGAAACCGAGGGTGAGTGACTTGAAGGGGGGAAAAAGGGATGGGACACAATTGGGGATAACCTGTCTGTAAAAGGGGAGGAGACGCTGGCCTAGGGAGGGCCACTTTCTAGAGAGCAGAGTCCTCCAAGAGGCAGAATGTGTTTTAGATTCTAATAGTGCCTTGCTTGGTGATGGCAGAGGTCCGACTCTAAGGTGATGGACGGGGCCTTCCAACTTCTGTGAAGGTTTGTTGTACAACTTAGGAATCTTTAATTGGGCTCAGGACACTCTTAGCCTAAAGCGGGGGGAGGCATGGCGAGTGAATAAAAAAAAACTAATTACGTTTTGTTCCAGAAGAGAGATCTGAGTGATGATGTAAAAACAATTACACACGGGCTGGGAAGGTGGCTCAGTGGTAGAGTGCTTGCCTTGCATGCATGAGGCCCTGGGTTCGATTCCTCAGCACCACATTCCTCAGGCCGATTCCTCAGACCCCACGACCAGCAAAAAACAAAACAAAACAAAAAAACTACACAGAACAATCTTTAAAAGTACTAGATGGTGTTTTGACATGAGTGAAACGATTTGGGCCTTTTTGATACTAAAAGATACCTGGGCCCTAGAATGTCATAGTGCTCAGAATCCTGTACTGTACTGTTTTTTTGGGGGGAGGGGAGTCGGTCGTAGGGCTTGAACTCTGGGCTTGGACACTGCCCCTCAGATCTTCAGCTCAAGGCTAGCACTCTAACACATTTAGCCACAGCGCCACTTCCGGTTTTCTGGTGGTTAATTGGAGATAAGCCCTTGACTAGGTAGGATTACAGGCGTGTGCCACCACTGGTGCCTGGCTTTATTGCTGTTCTTTACATTTCTTAGTTTACTCTGAGCTTTAGACCTGCCTTGTTTATCTGTATATAGTTTCGGGAACATAGTAGTTGCTCAAAAATGTTTGATTAGAACATCAAAGTAAAGATATCAACAAGCTCAAAAGAAAAAGTACATTCTGAAGAAAAAGATAAAAGAAATGGATTCCTTGGGTGCAAAAGAGGTGACAACTGAAAAGGGGAAATCTTGTGAGTCAGGAGATTTTGTCACTTTGTATTCAATTTTATTTATTTATTTATTTATTTTTGGTCAGTGGTGGGGCCTGAACTGTGGGCCTGGTACTTACTGTCCCTCAGTTCTTCAGCTCAAGGCTAGTGCTCTACCACTTGAGCCACAATGCCACTTCCAGCTTTTTTTTCTTCTACTTATGTGATGCTGAGGAATTGAACCCAGGGCCTCATGCATGCAAGACAAGCACCTTCCCAGCCCCTTGGTATTCAAATTTTAAGCAGGTAAAGTTCCATGTCTGCAGTTTGCTCATATACTTATAATTGAATGGCTTTGAAGTATGAATAGAAATACGTTCCAAACTGGATAAGCTGGATGAAATAGGTCCCAATCCTTTTTTTTTTCTTTTTTTTAAAGATGAGGGCAGCTGGGCGCCGGTGGTTCACACCTGTAATCCTAGCTACTCAGGAGGCTGAGATCTGAGAATCGAGGTTCAAAGCCAGCCTGGTCAGGAAAGTCCGTGAAACTCTTTTTTTTGGGGGGGGGGGAGGTCCGGTCGTGGGGCCTGAACTCTGGGCCTGAGCACTGTCGCTCAGCTCTTCAGCTCAAGGCTATCGCTCTACCACTTGAGCCACAACGCCACTTCCGGCTTTTTTTTCTTTTTGCTTATGTGGTGCTGAGGAATCGAACCCAGGGCCTCAAGCATGCAAGGCAAGCGCTCTACCACTGAGCCAACTTCCCA